ATCAATTTCTTTTATAGGATTTATACTATCATCCAATATGTAGAAGTCAACTGGTTAATCAGACATTTATCCCCTCTATCGAAAGGAGTGTCTTACGAAAAATGAGTTGTTATGTTCGTTCGTGAATTTGTTTGTTCGTATGTTCCTTCGTTCGCACAGCAAGAAAAATGTTCTTTCGACCTTTCGCAAGCTGCAAATCTCTTTGAGCCTAACTGACTTCGTCGCAGAGATTGGTCATTTCCGACTAAAGTTCTACTGAACAACCCAATCAGACATTTTCTGGATCCACACTCAACCAATAGGATTTCAGAAGGCAGAAACTGACTCAATCAGCTGTTTTCTGAGACCTCCACTCAACCAATAGGATTTCAGGATGCAGGAATTTAGCCAATCAGATGTTTTTTGAGTCCCGCACTCAACCAATAGGATTTCATGAGGCAGAATATTAGTCAATCAGATGTTTTCTGGGTCCTGCACTCAACGAATAGGATTTAAGAAGGCAGAAACTAATATAATCAGCTGTTTTCTAGCTCCTGCATTCAACCAATAGGATTTCATAAGGCAGAAACTGGCCCAATCAGCTGTCTTCTCAGTCCTCCACTCACGAGGAAAGGTTCCCAAGTGTGACGCTCAGTTTTGAATGGTATATATATCAGTTTGTAGAGCTCAACGAGCTGATTTTCGTGGTACGTTTTGTTTTTCCCCGTGGACCCTCAAATGAGAAAAATGGTAGGGTTTATTTTCGCAGAATCGTACTAGAAATATCGGAATTTCAAGTATAATATTGTCAGAGAAGATCAAGTTTAAAAACTTGTTGCAGCAGTTTAAGCCGCTCATTTTCATGTAGCAGATCAAAAGATATTTAAGGTTGTGTTACTTTTCATATTTTGATGTTATTTTTTTGTGTGGGAAAATTATTTATATGATACAGTCTGAAAAATGCAAGTTCGATAACTAGACTATTTTCTACATTCTGAAGTGGGGTGTGGGTGTGGGTGGGTGTGAGTATGGGTGGGGTGTGGGTGTGGATGTCGGTGGAGTGTAGGTGTTGGTGGGTGTGGGTTTGGGTGTGGGTGTGGGATGTGAGTGTGGGTGTCTGTCTCAGTCGTTGTGAGTGTGACGTATAATATTCTACATTAACACCCACACCCATACCCTTCAAATATAAAGATTGTATTTATCTTTATTTCATCAAGTAAATATAGAGCAACACCCCTGGTTGAGATTTCAAGTAGTTTTCATCTGGTAGTGTTACTTTTGGTCGATAGTGTAACATATAGGAATGCACAACTGGGTATGAGAAAATTAATGAATACAACTCTTATTTCTTTGCCTCCAAATAATCAACGAACGGTTAATTCTCATACAAAAAAAACAACTAATTGGAATATATTTTTTTGTAAAAAAACACACAATTAAAATTGAAAAATAACTAAGGAATAGTAAATCCTCTTGCGGTAAATCGTGTAAATCAAAGTTTCCTTGTTTCAAAGATATTTGATATTAAACTTCATGAACTATTTGTTTTATCAAAAACAAAATGAAATTCAATGATGAATCAATTAGTCGTTATCTGATTGCTACAGCAAATATATGTCGGTGATGACCATCTTCCTTTTAACGAGTTTGATTAGTTGATGACGATCAAATTTCACCATAAAATCCGAAAATTCATTGAATTATGATCTGACTTCTGCTTTTGTTCATCATTTTTCCAATATAGACAAAAAGATTCTAGAAAGTATTTAGGTTGATTAGCGCCAGTAATAGAAAATGAAGATGTGGGCAATGAAAAGTTATTTTGAGAGTCATACAGCAGAAATTTATTACTCAAACCCTAGAACAAAAAATGTGGAGTATCACTATGTTGACAAGACATTGAAATTATTCAGAAAAAATTAGAGAAGATCTCACTCAAATAAGGAGCTCAGATTAACCACATCTATGAACTATGACGAAAGGCTTTTTGACAGTAGATGGAACTTTCTTTATTACTATAAGCACAGACAAAGGCTGAAAATAAGCTACAATAATAGACGAGTGAGTAAAATGGAACAGAACGGTGAGAGAAACAGTAAGATAGATTCACTGGATGACTTCTATATGACCTCTGGTCAAGTTAGGTCAAGAAAAATACATTGCTTTGTTTTGTACATTTGCTATATTTGAGGTTGGAGTGTATCACAGAAAATGATTGGTTCGCAATCTGTCGATGAATGCTCATTTATTTGACCATATTTGACTCGAACATAGAAACATACAGAGACTGACTAACTTGTTACACATTCCTTAGAACACAACTTAAATGACTACTGTTTCTAATCTAAACATGACTGAAGCGTCAACACCAAAAATAAAACGAAATTATAAGCATGTTGCTTGCCAGCAAAAGACAAAAACTAACAAACAAGTTTATATGAATGTAAGCATTATAATTACTATAGTCTTGTTGTATTTCTAGCTATGACAACATTGAAAAGTGCTATTTACATTATTTTGCTAGTTTTTCTTTCTTCTTGAAAGAATCTATTATGTGAATATTTTAGACAAGATCAGAATGCAATGTTGAACTTGAACTTTTGGGACGGATTTTTCTCTGCATCATTTTAAATGTCGTTGGTTGTGAAACGATTCGATACGGCTTCATACAACTCAGAAGTCTTCCTAAAGACGTAAGTTTTGATTATATTGAAAATAAATGACAAAAGTTTTCAGTTTAGGCTTTTCTTTATCGATATCAATGGATATATTTTTTTATGATTAGTCTTATTGGTGTTATGGTAGCAGCTTTGTCAGTACGCATAATTGTTAGCATGTTTCTCGTCAGAATCGAAAGAATTATTCTTCTTTGCATCAAACATTATTATGTCGTTGGTCAGTATAATTTTATTGTTTAATTTTTTTCTGGTTTATAGAGATATTAATGATGACCGCTCATAAAACTTCTATTCTTGTCATCAGTAAAAATGAATAATTCTGTTCTGAAATTTTAGGAAAAAGATCGTACACATGGTGGCAAACTAAAACGACCATCTCTTTTTTAATTATCAGTACAGCAGAGATCATATGGATGATAATTGCCATTGAATCAGGTCGACTCGTGTTGACTAATGTGAATTTGACAAATATAAGTAAAGTATGTGTTCATTTAGAAAACGATCAATCTTATAGTACATATCGATGTGCATGTTCGACAACTCACTGACTTATTTATCATAATAATGTTTTTATTTGTCATGCTTGTATTATCTTTTAGGATCGATTCATTATGTATCGAATAAGTGGACTTTTTACTCTCATAGCATGTTCAATTGGACTTTTTTTTGACAATGTACCGAAGCTAACTGATGAATCAATATTTTCCATAATTAACCAACGTCGATTACAATAAGTGCTTTGATATGAAGTAGAGAGTAGCTGCCTAATTCGACTTATAATATAAATGCACAAAATATAACTAAATCTATTCCTAGGAATAGATTTAGTTTTAGATTAACTTTCAGATAAATGAAAACAAAATATTCCAATCCCTCCACAATTAAACATGCGCTCTCACCCCCCTCCCCGCCCACATAACGAGAGAGGCGCTCTCATTCCTTCCCTCCCCATAGAGAGAGATGCTCTCACCATCCCCCTCATAGAGAGAGATGCTTTCTCTCGCCCCTCCTTCTCAAAGAGAGAGAGAGAAAAATGTGCTCTCTCCCTCACCGACCCTTGCCCCCCCCCCTCCCATAGTGAGAGAGAGAGAGAGAAATGCGCTCTCTCCCTCACCCACGCTTGCCACTATATTCTTCTGAAATTAAAACTAAAACTAAATCTATTCCTAACTTTCACCAGTTATTTTAGAATTGATAGCATGCAGTTAGATCTCCATTTATATTCGAACTCGAATTAGGCAACTCATGCTTCTTTATCAATATCAATACGCGGCTTGTTTGATGATAGGTGCTCTCGGCAGTATAATGGTAGCTATGTCACTGAGTGCATTGGACAAAGCGTTTCAGTTCGCTCATTAGTTTCAATATTAAGAAACTAAATCAAATATATACTTCATGAAGAATAAAACTAGTTTTAGAATAACATTGAGTATGAATCCAAATTTTATGCTCTTTCGAAATCTGTGCTCAGAATTTTTGTTCTAGAATCGATTGTATTTTTACTGAGAAATCGGGCTGATGGTCATCGCAGCATGTTCAATGCCATCTATTCTTGACATATCATCGTTCATAAAACGCCTCGACATATATCTGAACTTATCAAAATCGATCTAGTAAATGTATTTCATCTCTAGAACATCATCGTTCTCTGTCTTGTAGCATTGTTTTACTGTTTTTTGTTTCTTATGTTAATAATAAGTAAAACATTACATCTGTTTTATACATGTGGATGATTCTACTCTTGTGCAACTCACATATATGTGCCAGGCAAAATTTGACACAGTTATTAACAGACTTGAAAATTAAAAATCGAAAAAGATAAGAATAAATAAGTG